GGGGGACGGGACGGACATTACATCAACTTCACATCTTTGGTTCTTTTGTACACACAGTCCTGCATAAAAGAAAAAAAATTACAAGGGAGAAATAAGTATGATTGGACAAATGCGACTGATAATCAAAAAAATAAAAGAATCAGACAACAGGATCAGATCCAGAGATGATTCAGATATTGGCATTACATAATTCAAATCTTTGTCAGCTTTGTTATAAAAATAAAAGAATAGGAAGATGGAGATTTCAATAGAGAAAATCTATACAATTAAATATTCTAAAACTAAAATATATAATATTTGAAATTAACTAACTGTATGGGTTAAATGGAAAACTGGACATGGCAGAAGGTAAAATTGGTAAATCTGAAGATGGGTTAATGGAAATATCAAAATAAAGCACACAGAGGAAAAAGAGTGGAAAGAATGGAGAAAATAAAAAGCATATGGGACACAAAGAGTATAATATATTTATAATGAAGTGTGAAAAAGAGAGAAACAATAATAGAGTGGAAGTCATGTGAAAAGATAATGGACAAGAATTTTTCAAAACTGATAGATACATCAATCACAGATTCAAGAGCTCAGTAAACCCCAAGCAAGATAAAATGTTTAGAACCCTAGGTAGGTTCATTATGGTCAAACTACTGAAAACAAAGATAAAGAGAAAATCCTAAAAGTAGCCAGAAAAAAAGACACAGTATCTACAAATAGTGAAAAGGTTTTTGACTCACTTTGCAACAGAAAATATGAAATCCAGAAGAATGGAATAACTTTTAAATGCCCAATAAATAAAATTACCAATCTAGATTTTTGTAGCCAATAAAAATACCCTTCAAAAATAAAGGTCTGATTAAGACTTTCAAACAAAATCTGAATAAGTTAACTGCCACCAGACCTGCATTATATGTAATACTAAAAGAAGTTGTTCATGCTGAAGGAAAATTAAGATGGAAGCAAAAAACTGTAATTAAACAAACACATACACATGCAGAAAGAATACTAATTAAAGAAACAATATCATGGCATTTGTAACCACAAAATATACACGTATAGCACAAAGAGTAGAAAGGCAGAAAATAGAATTGAACTGTTTTAAAATTCTTGGATTGTTTAGGAGGTAATAAAAGCATTAATATAATAGACTATAATTCAAACATAATCAATCTATAGAGTAATCATTAAAAAGATATAGTCAGGCATAACTAAAAAGCTAACAGAAGAGATAAAATAGTAAGAGGCAATTTACTGAGCCAAAAGAAAGAAAATTTATGAATAAAGAAAAGATAGGAAAAAGAAAATAAATAGAAGATGGTAGGTAGGCTTAAAACCTACAATATCAATAATTACACTAAAAGTAAGTAGTTCAAACAATGTAATTAAAGAAGAAAGATTCTAAGATTGGATAAAATAACAAGACCAAAGTATAAAATGTGTACACAACACACACTTTAAACGGAACGAACATTTGTTGAAAATGAAAGGACAGAAAAAGTTTTGTCATGCAAACAATAGCTAAAACAGAACTGGTATGGCTATATTATTATCAAAGTTGACATGAAATATTCATACAGATACCAAGTGATATTTTAAAATTATAAAAATGTCACTTTATCAAAAAGGTATCTTAGATTGTATGTACTGAATAATATAGCTTCAGAGTATACAACATAGCTTCTCCAATTTTTACTCTCTACCACTTTTCACAATCTGACATTACAAATTTAAGTAGAGGCCTGATGCACGAAAATTTGTGCAAGAGTAGGCCTTCCTTACCCCCCGCAGGCACTGGCTTCCCTTCAGCACCAGGGACCAGGCTGGCTTCCCTCCGGCCCTGGCTTTGTCAGGAAGGATGTCCAGTCTAATTAACATATTACCCTTTTATTATTATTATAGATTATTGTTTCCTTATTCTCCCACCATCCCTGTAGAGAATATAAGCTTAAAAGGGCAGGGGCTTATTCTGTCTTGATAAAACTTTATTCTCCATTACTAGCCCAGCACATAGTATGCACTCAATAAATATTGGCTGAATAAATAAAACTGCCCTTAATAATTTTTCTTAGTTCTTACTTTTAAAGTTTATATTATACACTTATTTTCTTCAGTTATGCAATCCTTTCACTTAAACAATATTTAGTAAATCTCTGCCAGCCAAGATATTGCATAAGAAGTTTAAACAAAAAGTTTGAAAAAATGTTCGTGGGAAATATTATTTTCTCTTCATAAAACAAAGGCTCCAAAATTAAAAATCATTAAAATTTGCCTTTCTTCATTAATTAAAAATATTTAAATATATGTAGGTACATAGATTCACATAAATAAAATAATACAATTATATAGTAGCTTTCATGTTTATTCAACTTCACAGAAAATCCAATAATGTGTCTGAAAGTTGGTTATTTATCTAAATACCAATTGTTCATTATGGTGACATAATACTATATGGTAAAGGAGATATACCTAAGTTAAACAAATTCTTAAATTCCTGACATTTTTCAAGTGGGCAAAAAGGAAATCTTAAAAATCATACTTATAAGTTATAAGGTGATACAGAATGTAATTAACCTATAATACCTGGAACAGGTTTTATAGCCACATTTGTAATTTACATATACAGTGGAGTTCACTGAAAAAGCTTCTTGTTGCACTGCAGCAAGAAATTTTATTATAATGTAGATTAAATGGATTTGCCACAGAGTAAAGCAAGATAACCTCACTAAAGAATCCCAAGATTTTAATAATGGAACTTGTTACAGTAAGTATTTTCTCAATTTTTTTACAGTACATATTTCAAAATGAACATTATCACTGAAGAGCTTGCTAACCACTGTAATTAACTTTTTATATATACTTAATTTTACTTTAGTTATGGTATGTGGCTCTCCAAATGTTAGTACATGAAATGTTAAGTTTAACCATAATAAGATAATCCCTTAAGATGAAGACACAGGACATCAAAATTTTGATAATTATTGCACCTATTTTTCTACTGAAAAATGGAAAATTTACATCATAATTCTCCCAAAAGGGAACATATGTGTAAGAAAATCACAGACTCATTGCCATTAAACAGAATCTACAATGAACATTTTTGTGATCTGATGTACGAATTAATGTACAATGAAATCTGCTTAACTATGATCATGCAAATAAAAATCCTCCACAACCATTTTTGTTGTTGTTGTTTTATAAAATGGTCTTAAAGATATACTTCCATAAACATTCCTGGTGCAATTTAGTCAATGACAAAAATACAAAGCTATCCTTTATTCTTATTTTATAGATTTATAAACATGCCTTTGTACTGCTGAAATAGAAACAGCGTGATGGGAGAACTGAGCTAATGAAATGTTTAAAAACCAATGTATCTTGGTCCATTAGCTGCCTTGATATATAGCAGCCTCCCATAATCACTGGTGTCAGTACTGCTGTAAATAAAGAACAGCTAAATATTGAGAGATTAAGAAACAAAAACATTTTTTAAAAATAAAAGGCAGTTTCATTAACATGGAGAAATCTCTAAAAAAATAATAATCACATTAATTGTGATATGCATTGGAAAATAGTAAAATGTCATTTTCCAAAATAGTTTCTTTATTATATCCCTCATCTATTATCACCAATCTTGGAAATATACCTTAAACATAATACTGTGTTACATGAAAATGCTCCATTATTCAATGTGATAAATTTAACAAGTTAGAATATGATTTTCTTTCTGATGTTAACCATGAAAAAAGAAAAGAACAGCACCTGAAATACTAAAATGAATTTAGCTACACATAAAGTAACAACCTATAAGTTTTGGTTCAAAATACAGTTTACAAAACTGTAAAAGTATACTGTCTTATGTAATTTGTTTCTATAGTTTTGCAGCTTACCATAACGAAAAGATCATCTCTAAATCCAAATAAATTTCCACTTTTCCCAGTCAGGACAAAGTGGAATTTCATTTAAAAAGTTCATAAGACTGTAATACCTAGTACAGTAGCTCATGTAGTTCGACATATCACTTCCACTTTGTCCTTCCTCCCAAGACAATGTTTTTGGCTCAAAAATAAAAAAACAATAATAAACTCTTGATGAAAACTATGTTATGGGGCAATCTATCATATACTATAACTAAATATGAATTTACAGAAAAGAGCACATTCCATTTTTAGCATTTTTTTCATAAACATGCAACTCACTATAAAATACAAAACTCTTGTTTTCAAGAACAGCCTTATAAAGACACACTGCATCAATAAAACTTTTTTCTTTCTGATTACCTTTACATTGTTATGAAGAACTGAAACTTTTCTAATGTGTATATATCAGATTTTATATTATAGTGTAATAATTTGCATTTTCTGAACACGTTCAAGAGGAAATATCTATACACAATAACATTCTAGACTATTAAAAACTAATTCAAATTACAGAATTTTATTGATACAGTAGAGTATATGAACTGAAAAGGGACGATAAAATGGGATAAAGATTTCAGTACATTATTTTATAACACATTCTTTAAAATTAAAATATTTTAAATCTTTTTCTTAAAATTTTCATTGCCATAGAAGGCCAGAAAATTCTGGGACCAATACTGAGGTGTAAAATAATCAACGTCAGGAGTATTTCACAATTTGTGTGGTTTCCTCCCATCAGAGGCATCGTTCAGGTGTAGTAGCAGATGATTTAGCACCTCTGAAGCTTAAGGGTGCCTAGGGGTAAACACTAGGTAAGATACACATGGGAAAGAGACCATTTAACTCTCCAACCAATAGTGACATCAAGAAAATGACACCATTTGTTGAAAAATAATTTTTTCACAGTAAAACTGCAGAGTATACAAATACAAATACTGACAGATGACTGCTTAAGATCTATCCTAACAAACTCTTTTCAAAGCAATAGATCCAATAAACAGTTGGGTACTGTCAGTTTAAAGCCACAGATAAAAGCTATACAAGCACACTAGAAGTCAGAAACATTAAAAAAAAAAAAAAAGGAAAAATATATTTACAAGTTTCTTCTTTAGTTTATTTCTACATAGCCATAGCAAATTACACTTTCACAAGTCAATGTTATTACCATGCGTATGGCTAAAGTGTGACCACAAATATATGAGGTCATCAAAGGGAGGTCCAACTGTCCACTCTTCAGCAGTCCCATTTTGTGTATTAAAGGTTTTATTCAGCCTCAAGCTTGATGAAAAATGATTTTTTAAGTGTTCACATAGAAATTATTACATTTGTTCATCGCCTTTCTCTTTTAGAACTTCTCCGCCGTACCTTAAAAGAAAAATCATCAGATGCTTAATTAAAATGGGGACACATTTATTAGACATAGCAATTATAATAATTTTTTAACCAATTATTATTCTTACTTGGTCCTGATTTTCTTTGCTTTTCTCTCCTTGAAACCTTTCTCCTATTTTAACTTGTTGCATCACTTATTTAGACCTATATAATATTTGAATGTTCATAAACAGCTTTTCCCAGAATAGCAAGGAAAAATCATTCCTTTTCTATTTAATAACTTTAGAAACAAATGATCAGAAGTCTATGTAGACAGCAAGTAAAATAATGGCAAATGTCATATTTTTACTTATATTTCTGTGGTAAGACAAAATTTGACACTTATGAACTTAGGCTTATAGCTGTCTTTCTGGGAAAATAGTTATTGAGTTTAGATCCTATCAAATACATATAAGTAAGCTAAAATTCAGACACATTCCCATTAATTGGCAATAGGTAATGAAAGCATAAAACTTTAGTTCAAACAAGAGGAATATAAAAAGGACAGTACTTTAATTTAATTAACAGTATAGTTTTTCTTTGATGAAGATGTCAGAGACTCTTTCACCTTATTTTTACATCTCCAAAAAACCCGTTAAGAAAGAAGCTCAGCTAGTTTGAGACCACAATGCAGCATATTTTTCTGTAGTGTTAATCCATTCACATAAAATCAAGATTGAAGAGCTAATTATATTTTAAATAGGTCAGAGAAGTGGGGATCAACTCTGGGACTTGATCTCAGTACACTGATTTCTCAAATAAAATGGCTGACTGAGCTGATCCAAAGATTCAGCATTAGTATTACCAAGAGAACAGCTCTTACTTAACTGTTTATATTTCTTCCATAGTAAAATATCTGAAATATGTTAAATGGCAAAACAATTCATTACTTAAAAAATAAAAAAAGTACCTCAGGAAGTTCCACATTCCTACTTTTGTAAAAAAAAAAAAAAAAAAAAAAAAGTGTCTATTACCAATGTTATGAATTCCAAAGGCTGATTTTAGTAAAAACTATGATTTTATTATGATTGACTAATTTCGAGTTTCTACTTTGAAAGTCAAACAAAAAGTAATGAAACATAAATAAGAGTATATTTAACAGATATCAGCACTCTAAAATCAAGGTATAAAAATGCCTTAAGTGTCAGTATCATACTGGTGCTTGTTCTTTTCCACATCAGTTTAAACTTGACATTTGCACTTGCACTAGGCTACATTCGTTACTCTCACTCAGTTTTAGATTTCCATAAAAGATGTCTTCTGCATTATACAAGCTGGTAGAGGACAGAATGCTAAACTAATGAAGAAAAAACTATGTATTTAGAATTATAAGAAACATCAAACACTAAAAAGCTGTGACCAAATATTTACCAACCCTATTTCTATATTCCATACTATTGAGAGGGTTAACTTGAAACGCAGGCAGACAGGTACAGTGGAAAACAAAGGCAGGTGGAATATAGGCAGGGGTAGACATGGCAGTTTGAGCCAGCCTAATCACAGAAACCAACAAAGCAGAAATAATAAAATGTTTCTGGACTCAAAGCCAGAGGCATGGGAAAACAAGTGAGGGCTTGCAGCAACAAGGTGTATGAATGCATAGAAACAGAAAGTTCAGCATAGGAACAGGGAAAGAACACACAGAAATGGAAAGTTCAGGCCCGTTGCTGGGCAAGAACAATTGAGGGAATCAATCAGGTGAAGACACAGGCAGACATGAAGCAGACTTGTAGCAAATATATGCCCCTGGACTACAAGGCTTTAAGGGGGCAGCCCATTATTAGGGCCCACCTCCCCGTGAGGGGAGTCTGAATATGCTTGTAATTTTCCACACTTTTGCTTAAATCTTCTGGTCCGCGGAGCTCATTCTTCAGCGTTGCAAGATATGACCCCTGGAAAAACCCTGAGTTCACCTTTCCGGTTATCACTATCACACATGGCATTTTAATAAAAACATACATTTACTGTAGAAACTTCCTCTTCTTCTGTTTCTTCCTGTGGAATATCATCATTGACAGGAGAGCAACCCTGAAACACATCTACTTCTTCACTTGAATCATTTTCTTTAGTGGCTGCTTGTTTGGAGCGTCCTACACGGCTAGAGTAAAACACATGTAAAATACAATGAACATGCTAATCTTTAACTAGATTACATCTCAGTAGAGGGAATGCTTTAAATATCTCACGAATTCTCAGATTTTCATTTTTATCCTTAATAACCTTATAAGAAAATATTTGTAAAAAAATATTTTTACTGATTTTTTTAGAGAGAAAGGGAGAGGGAGAAACATTGATGTGAAAGGGAAACATTGATCAGGCGCCTACTGCACACCTCCTACCGGGGATTGAGTCACAACCTGGATAAGTGCCCTGACCAGGAATCGAACTGGCAACCTTTTGGTGCACTGGACAATGCCCAAACAACTGGTCAGGGTGGAAATATTTTTCTTATATTCTGAACCCTAAAACAGTGTTCAATCTAGAATCTTACATACAAACATCTACCAAGTAACAAAAAATGTGACTGAGACCAACACCATAAAGGAATTAAAAACAAAACTCAGATTCTGCTTTTTTTTTTTACTCTTT